TACAATCTATGTTGGTGATGAAAAATTAATTGAAGTAATACTTGGGAAGGCTATTACAGTAGCTAAAATTGAAGAGGATTAAGAAGAATAAGAATAAGAATAAGAAGATAGAACCATTTAATAAACTAAAAATTAATTGCCTAATTTATTTTACTATTTTTATTCAGACTTAACGTAATAATAGATTGTTCTTTATATTACTTTAAAACTTAATCTTGTGTAAGGGAAAACACTTATAATAGTTTCAAATTTATTTGAGATTTATTATTTACAATTACTTTTTTAGAGATGCAATATTGAAAGATTTTAAATTTATAATCATGAAAATCCAAAAACACTTAAATATTATACTTTATCTACATTCAATACTGGAGTAATCTAAATACTTATTGCAACTGCAAATATCTTTTTAGATCTAGAAAATGAATTCTTTGAAAGAACTAAATAAGTTTCTAAAAAATCCAAATAACCATACACTTTAAAGAAGTTAGATAATATTATTTTATATAATTTATTACCAAATGAATTACCAGATTAAATATTAAAATCTGTTACAAATACTGTTTGTATAGCTTCAAATAATGAATAAAATGTAGAAACAGTAATGTAGTTTGTAAATACAGAATATAATAATATTAATTGTAAAGAATATCCAATAAAATAAAATGAAATTGAAGCATTCAGATATCGTATAGAAGATACAACTAAAAATATATCTAAATATTAAGTTAAAATGGCAGAGTAAATAGATTTCAAAAAAAAGATGGTAAAGTCACCTGATCTTGTAGAGTATTTTTAATAAAATTAGAAAGAAAAAGAATTGTTGTAAGATTAAATTGTATAATTAAAGAAAAAATTAAATAGATCATCAATATAATTGCCATAAGGTATATATATATTATTATGTCTTAGGTCCTGTACCTGAATATTTATTACCAGAATTCATTAAAAAATAAAGAAAAATGTAAGGAGATTAATAAAAAGTAAAAGTTCTTGTTAGAGTTCATGATTAAAATACTGATAAATTAATAAAGAAAAGAAGATTGTTGAATGATGAAATGAATAATAATATGTTACCTGAGTAAGAAGAAAAAGCAAAGCCAAAAAAACCTGAAAATTAATATGTTACAATCAATTAAGAAGATGAAGATCCTGAATTAGTAGATTCATCTCGACTTAGACCTATAAGTGGTAAAAAAATATGGAAGTTGAAACATGGATTTAAATTAAAAAAGAGAAATAAGAGATTAGAAAAGAAAGGTGTCTTCACTACCTGAGTGTATATAAATTAATTTATTTTAAACAATTTTATATAATGATTGTATGATATATAAATGCTCATGAATAAATCATTAATCTTTTGGCTGATTAGTTAGAACTTCTTTAAATGAAAATGGCATAAATTTAATGCCATCAGCTTTATAAAATTTGCTTTAGAATTCTACCCATTACAATCTTAAAGCATGTAAGAAACATTCCATAAGATCCATGCACATTAAAACTATAATAGATATATATATATAAATACCTCCAATTGTGCAATGTAAAAATATGGGCCAACCTATGACTAATACAATTACATTTCCATCAACAATACCAGCACCAATACACTTCTCGAAAAATACTTTAGCCAATTATCCATGTGCTAAAGATAAGGCCCATAAACGTAAATATGATGCAGTATTACTAATAGATCCAAGAACAAATTCAATAGTTTCAATAATTTAATGAACAGCAAGTTCTCCAATATCAAATTCTTCATGTCCATGTCCATGTCCACCACTTTATTCTTATTATTTTGGCAATATTTATTATGGTTAATCTTTTTGTTGAATATCTTCTCCTGCTTATTCTTTGAGTCTCTATTCTTCTAATTGTTTTCTTTTTAATTCTTTCTCTTTTTCCTTTTAGATTAATTACAATCTGAGTTCCTCAGCTAATGCACTTTAATTAATTGATTTTTAACTTGATTGCATAGGCAATAAGGCTTCCTTACTTTCATCCTTTGGTTCAAGTGCCTTTGAAGGCTTTTTGTCATGCTTTTTTCCACTGTAATGTTGAATAATCTCAATTATTGGTTTTGGTATAAGCATCCATGGTATACATAAGAATGACCAAAACAAGATAGATTATTAAAGGGATTCTTAAGACTCTAAATCAAATAATGGTTTTCCTTCAGTGGAACCTCCTTACAAGGGAATATTGATCATTGCATTAATGATTGATGGAGCCTTATCAGTTCTATCTTCCCAACTCTAACCCCATTTTAACATAATCATTATTGCCATATAGCCAAATGTAATACACATAAATATTAATTATGGTAGGAATTCACAAACAAATGATAAGTAATCCTTAAAGTAGATATTATTCACACCTTTTAAGAGAATACCAAAAATCATTTGAGAAACTCCATAAATGATTGCAAACTTCATTTTAAAGGAATTAAAGAAATTCAATTCATTACTTGCAATATACCATTTAGGATCAAATCCAATTGGGTAAGTACATCCTTTGATATAAACAGTTTCTTCAGAATCAGGTACATTTTCAAAGCAACTTCCAAATATATTCCAAGTTAAAGACATGAAATCATTATAAATAATACCACAATAGAGTGCACATATACCCATCAATAGAAATAGATATCTAACTTACATTAAACCAGCAAAATCAGGTAGTTTTTTTAAAGTATCAGCATTTTTGACTAAAAGGAATGCTAAAACAAACAAAACACCTCCATGACCAATATCACCAAACATAATACCAAACATAAAAGGGAAAAACATAACAGCAAACATTCCTGGATTAACTTCCTTATATCTAGGAATACCATAAGTATTAACAATTTCTTGGAATACATAATTGAAATCATTTATTTTAAAATAAGTAGGAGTAAGTACTTTTTCAGGTGGTTCCAACTCTATAATTTATCCAACAGAAGTATTGCTTTATGAAACACTCAATTAATGTAGCATATGATGTAATTCACCTTCTACATGTTTAGGTGCCCAAAAGAATCCTATATAAATTCTTTCTTTCTAATAAAGATAATTTAAATTTGTATATAATGTTTTCTCTTTCACCATCAACAATTTACTCATTTCCAATAAAGATATTTTTAATTATGGCTATATCTAAGCATATTCTAATAACAATTCTTTTATTTTACCAGCTGTCAATCTTAATAACTAAAAAATAAATGAAATTTTACATTGTCACATTCATCTAAAGATCGATCCAACTCTAATGTTTTTTAGACTAACAATTAAGGATCATCTGGAAGTACAAATTTGGCACAATTAAATGAATCACAAATTTTGTTTAGTTTTGCTCTCAAAAAATCTTATCCTCCTCCTGTATATACAATCAAGAACACTGTTCTTTATTTATCCAAATTCTTTGCTGCTGATTTATCTGAATCCAAGTTCCCTGTTTCTAATGAAGAATCAAGTCGTGAATATTCTATATCAGACAAGACAATCCATGCATTTCCTTTAGATGCTCTAAATACCATTCTTTTAAAACGATTTGCTTCTACTCTATCAACTACTCCCACTAAATAATTTAGATTATAAACTATTTTTCATTATAACATATAATTTTTACGTGGTTATGTTACTTTTTGTTGATCTGGTACACCACCTATTTATGGATTTATAGCCACATTTCTTCCTTTTGTATAATATGTTGGACCTAATACTTCCTTTGATTTTATCAAAACAGCCTTGTGTTCAAATAAAGTGTTTTTACGGACAGATATTTACTCTAAATTTTGAATCTGTTCTATCAATTAAGCTTTTAGATAAAGATAATCAATTACAATATTTTTCATCCAAAGTACTTTCAATCAGATCAAACCATTTATCTTCACTTTAATTAATATCCTTTGTATATAAAGTAATTCTTTCTAAGAATTATTAATAATCAGAGCATTTAAGATTCTTTATTTTGTACTTCAACATTTCAGTTTCCAATACGTTCAATTTACTAATCACTTCATCTGCCCTCCTTATGTATTGATAAAATGGTCTATTCACATGAGGCTCATCTGGTGACATATCTACTACTTAGACCTTAAATAAATATTCCATTCCCTACCATACTCAATTTTCCCATCTCATTAAACACTTCCCATGCACTTTCCTTAGGCACTATTATCTAATAGTATGCCATTGTCTCTGATCTAAAGAAACTCATTAATAAGATATAAATAATATTTATGTTAATTCAAGAAGCATAAATTAATTATAAAACAACACAATCTTTTTAATTTAAATAAGCCTCTACTACATCTTATATAATTACTCTTATTATTTGAGATTCCTTTCACTAAACCTAAAGATCTTCATAAGATATTTGAGAATTTATCATTTCTTATATTTAATATATTTAAGTCATTTCATAAAGCTATTATATAAAATCTTTACTACTATTGATTTTCAATAAAACTAAGTAATTCTTAAGATATTTATAATCTCTATACATAATTTACGTTATATTCCTTATTTTTGTCTGAACTTAAATGGTACTAAAATCAACCTTATACAGGTGGTCTAATTTGAAAAAATATAAAAAAGACTAATTAGAAAAATGATATTAGAACAAAAATGTTAGTAATCTAACTTTCATGCATTAGTTGCATGTATAGAGTTTGGAAAATTTCTGTATTTTTTAATCAATTTTTCTGTTTACATAAAGTATTATTTAAAAGAATCATTTATTGATTCTCTTTAAGGTCTTACTTCTACTATTTCAAATTCCATTTTGTTTTCTTTTGAAAATTCATAATCCATTTATGGCTTCAATATTTAAAAGATACTTTAAATAATACAGATGATTCTAAAACTAAAACCTTCTGCTTTTTTTTGAAAATAATACCATATATAGATATATGTATGATTATGATAGAGAAATAAATAAGCTTATTAATTGTCTATAATTTTTATAAATCTAATCATAAATATATATATTTATTAATAAAGAAATATAAATTAATTAAAGAATTTAATTAATGGAAGAATCAAAGTTAAGAATTGCTATTATCAATAAAGATAGATGTAAACCATAACGTTGTGCTTTGGAATGCAAAAAGAATTGTCCAATTAATAAGAGTGAGAAATTATGTATCGAAGTTACAAAGTAAAGTAAATTATGCACAATCAATGAATCATTATGTATTGGATGTGCTATTTGTGTTAAGAAATGTCCATTCAAAGCAATCATGATTATTAATTTACCCAAAGATTTATCTAAAGAATTAACACATTAATATGGAGCCAATTCATTCAAATTACATAGATTACCAACACCTAGACCAGGATAAGTTTTAGGATTAGTTGGAACTAATGGTATTGGAAAATCAACTGCATTATAAATTCTAAGTGGAAAAGTGCAACCTAATTTGGGTTTATATAAAGAGCCTCCTACATTTGAATAGATCTTAAAGTATTTTAGAGGAAGTGAATTACAAAGTTATTTACAAAAAGTATTTGAAGGAAAGGTGAAGGCTGTAATAAAACCATAATATGTTGATTCAATTGGTAAGGCAGTTAAAGGTAAAGTTGGAGAAGTTATTAAAAATAAGGATAAATTGAATAGAGCAGAATAATTATTAAAAGATTTAGAATTGTCTCATTTAGTAGATAGAGAAATTGGTATGTTATCTGGAGGTGAATTGTAAAGATTTGCAATATTAATGGCATGTATTTCAGAAAGTGAATGTTTGATGCTTGATGAACCAACATCTTATTTAGATATTAAATAAAGAGTGGTTGCATCTAGAATCATAAGAAATTAAGTAAGAGATAACAATTATCTTATTGTTGTAGAACATGATCTATCCATATTAGATTATTTATCAGATTTTATATGTTGTTTATATGGAGAATAAACAGCTTATGGTATAGTGACAATGCCTTTTTCAGTTAGAGAAGGTATTAATATATTTTTGGCTGGATTTGTACCTACTGAAAATATGAGATTTAGAGATTATGAATTAAGTTTCAAGATTTCAGATAATTTAGATATGTTAGAAAATCAGAAATAAAAGAAAAATTATCAATATCCTGATATGAAAAAAGTATAAGGAGAATTTTCATTGTAAGTAAAAGCAGGAGGTTTTAATAATTCAGAAATTGTTGTTTTATTAGGAGAAAATGGAACTGGTAAAACTACATTCATTAAAATGTTGGCTGGAAAAGATAAAGATGTTGTTGATATTCCAAAATTAAGTGTCAGTTATAAACCATAAATGATTGCACCTACATTTGATGGAACAGTTTAAGAATTATTTAGATCTAAATTATAAGATAGTCATAGAAATCCATAATTTTAAACTGATGTATATAAACCATTGAGAATTGAAGATTTAGAAGATAATGAAGTTAAGAAATTATCAGGAGGTGAATTATAAAGAGTTGCTTTGATTTTAGCATTAGGTAAACCAGCTGAAGTTTATTTATTGGATGAACCATCTGCTTATTTAGATGCAGAATAAAGAGTTGCTACATCTAAATTAATTAAAAGATTTATAATGAATACAAAAAGAGCAGGTTTTGTTGTTGAACATGATTTTATTATGGCAACTTATTTGGCAGATAAGTAATTACTTTATTTATATTAAAAGAGTTGTAGTGTATGATGGTGTACCAGGAAAAGCATGTGTTGCTAATGCACCTGAAGATTTATTAACAGGAATGAATAAATTTTTGAATGTTCTTAATATAACATTTAGAAGAGGTATAATATCTATTTTATTATTTTATAGATCCAANTTCAATTGGTAAGGCAGTTAAAGGTAAAGTTGGAGAAGTTATTAAAAATAAGGATAAATTGAATAGAGCAGAATAATTATTAAAAGATTTAGAATTGTCTCATTTAGTAGATAGAGAAATTGGTATGTTATCTGGAGGTGAATTGTAAAGATTTGCAATATTAATGGCATGTATTTCAGAAAGTGAATGTTTGATGCTTGATGAACCAACATCTTATTTAGATATTAAATAAAGAGTGGTTGCATCTAGAATCATAAGAAATTAAGTAAGAGATAACAATTATCTTATTGTTGTAGAACATGATCTATCCATATTAGATTATTTATCAGATTTTATATGTTGTTTATATGGAGAATAAACAGCTTATGGTATAGTGACAATGCCTTTTTCAGTTAGAGAAGGTATTAATATATTTTTGGCTGGATTTGTACCAACTGAAAATATGAGATTTAGAGATTATGAATTAAGTTTCAAGATTTCAGATAATTTAGATATGTTAGAAAATCAGAAATAAAAGAAAAATTATCAATATCCTGATATGAAAAAAGTATAAGGAGAATTTTCATTGTAAGTAAAAGCAGGAGGTTTTAATAATTCAGAAATTGTTGTTTTATTAGGAGAAAATGGAACTGGTAAAACTACATTCATTAAAATGTTGGCTGGAAAAGATAAAGATGTTGTTGATATTCCAAAATTAAGTGTCAGTTATAAACCATAAATGATTGCACCTACATTTGATGGAACAGTTTAAGAATTATTTAGATCTAAATTATAAGATAGTCATAGAAATCCATAATTTTAAACTGATGTATATAAACCATTGAGAATTGAAGATTTAGAAGATAATGAAGTTAAGAAATTATCAGGAGGTGAATTATAAAGAGTTGCTTTGATTTTAGCATTAGGTAAACCAGCTGAAGTTTATTTATTGGATGAACCATCTGCTTATTTAGATGCAGAATAAAGAGTTGCTACATCTAAATTAATTAAAAGATTTATAATGAATACAAAAAGAGCAGGTTTTGTTGTTGAACATGATTTTATTATGGCAACTTATTTGGCAGATAAGTAATTACTTTATTTATATTAAAAGAGTTGTAGTGTATGATGGTGTACCAGGAAAAGCATGTGTTGCTAATGCACCTGAAGATTTATTAACAGGAATGAATAAATTTTTGAATGTTCTTAATATAACATTTAGAAGAGGTATAATATCTATTTTATTATTTTATAGATCCAACTAATTTTAGACCAAGAATCAATAAAATGGATTCTATATTGGATAGAGAATAGAAATAAAGTGGTAACTATTTCTGTTTAGATGAATGAAAAATTGTTTTTAAATTTACATAAATTATAAGTATATTTTAATATGTAAGTCGGTCTCAATAAATTTGGATTTTCTTTTGATAAAAAAATTGGAAGTGGTTCTTTTGGTTAAATCTTTTTAGGTACAACTTATTGAATAATCTATAAGGAATTAATAAATAAACTGGATAAGATGTAGCTATTAAATTAGTATGACAATTTTTAATCATCTAGGAAGCTATTGCAAATAAACATCCATAATTAATCTTTGAGGGCAAGTTATATAAAGTATTGCAAGGAGGAAGTAAATTGATAAAATAGATTTAGTTGGGATTCCATAAGCTTATTGGGTTGGAAGTGAAGGAGAATACAATATATTGGTTATGGAACTACTTGGTCCCAATTTAGAAGATCTATTTAATTAATGCAAAAGACACTTTTCATTAAAAACAGTCTTAATGATTGCTTAATAGATGCTTTCAAGAATTGAATTTATTCATAGCAAAAACTTAATTCATAGAGATATTAAACCTGACAATTTTTTAATTGGATTAGCTTAAAAGAATGATTTAATATATATTATAGACTTTGGTCTGTCTAAGAAATATAGAGATTAAAGAACTAGTATTTTTATTATAATATTTTTAGATTTACATATTCCATATAGAGAAGGTAAAAGTTTAACTGGAACAGCAAGATATGCTAGTGTAAATACACATTTAGGAGTTGAATAAAGTAGAAGAGATGATTTAGAAGCAATTGGATATGTTTTAGTATATTTTTTAAATGGATAATTACCTTGGTAAGGTTTAAAAACAGATAACAAAAAAGATAAATATGAAAAAATAGCAGAATCTAAGATTGCTACTTCAATTGAAAAATTATGTGAAGGATTGCCTGAAGAGTTTTCTATTTATTTCAATTATTGTAAAAGCCTAAAATTTGAAGAGAGACCTGATTATGTTTGGTTAAAGAAATTATTTAAAGATCTTTATACAAGAATGAAATATCCAAATGATAATGTATTTGACTGGACAAAATTATGATTATCATTATTAATTGATATTTTATATATATTCTTTATATTAAATTTTGGAATATTGATTACCAATATGTTTCCCTTTTTTATTAACAATATATTATTTTATTTGATTAATAAATATAAATACTAAAGGGATCTTTATTTGTTTTACATTTATTCAATGCGAATGTATATTTTATCATTTATATAAATTTAATAGATTATTAGATAGGATTATGTAAATTTTTAAGAGATTTTATATATAAATATATAAAATATATCATTTTCCTTTTTCTTAAGATTTATTAATTAAAAAATTACCTAGAAATTGTACTTCTTCATTTGGTCTAACTTATTAAATTTATATTACTTTTGAAGTTTAATTTAAGTGAGTCCTTCAATTAATGCTTCATAAAGATCACTATTATCTTTCTAAAGATAAGCAAATAGAGAAAAATATTAGTCTGGTTGTTGCTATTTCTACTAATTATTCATATTTTAATAATAATATTTATAATTAATTTTCCATTAAATATAACTCATAATAAACCACTTTATAATGTTTACTTTAGTGTTAATAATGAATTTATTTACTCTTATTTTTGTTTGAATTAATTTTAGAGTGTTAAATGCTAAGAATATAAATATATTATATACTTCTTTAGCTTATTCTACAATATAAATATCAGATTTCTCACATTTTCTTTAACAAGCTTAAGATTTCTATTCAAAAGTTCTACATGATTATGCAAGCTATATATATATGAAAATAGAATACTTTTTCTGTTTCAGCTTTATATAAATTAAATTATTGATTTGTTTTTTCAATAATTTATTAGAATTCCTCTGCTTTTTATAGATATGGATTCAAATGAGCATCTACTAATGCTTCTTCATCTTTTATTTTTTATAATTAATCTTCTGAATTATCAGTTGAACCTAAAGATTAACTTATATTTGTAATTTATTCAAATATTTTAGTTTCTCTTTCTTTTCTTTATGATTCTTTAATAAATTTTAATGTATAATATTACCTAATTTATTTAATTCTTCATCAAAGATTTTATCTCTTTTTTCAACATGTTCTTAAATTTCTTTAATTTTTTCTTTTAAAGCTTCATTCTCAGCTTAACTTTTATGTTTAGCATTAGAGACTTCTTCCATTTTAGTTGAAATATCTTTAATTTCTTATTAAAATCCTTCAACTAATTCTGTTTTCTTTAATTTTTCTTCCTCAACTACTTTGTTGTATTTTTCTTAATAATCATTTAATTGATTAGTTTAAGTATTTCTAAAAACATCTAATGTTTTAATTTGATTCTTCAATCTTTAATTTTCATTAAAAACTTTTATTTAAATTGTTACTATTACCTTTTTCTTTTTCTTAAGTAGCTATCTCAAATTTCTTTGCTGATAACATAGCCTCTTTATTTGCTGTTTTACAATCATTGATTATTTTTTTTAGTTTATTTAACAAAGCTGTCTTGTCCTACAAATTATCTAGCTGACTTTTTTAAATTTTAGTTTATTTTCCAATTTTTTTGAATTCATCATCTCCTTTAAATCTTTAATGAAATTCTTCTAAATTTTACTCTACAATAACTTAAATAATTTACATGTATATAATCCTTTGATTTAAGCAAAGATGTCAAAAACTGTGAGATTCATATATTATTTTTGAAATTTTATTATCTAAAATTAAAGAATATATTCAAAAAACAAAAATTATATATTTAGATCAGAACTGGCGAAGATTGTCGACATCTTTATATTACGAAGTCGGAATACTTGATCATCATATATAAGTAAATTTGTTATTTCCTTTTTATAGAATTACGAATTCAATAGCCAGATTGTGGGTTTTAATTAATTTAAATTTAATAAACTCAATATGGTATTCTATGTCATTCATAATAGTAAATTGCAGATGAACAATAAGATGTATAACATTCTATACCAGACCTTGACAATGTGAATATCAAATTAGGAGATGACCAAAAGAAAGTTAATCAAAATTCATCTAATACTGTCTCATAAGTACAATAACCAGAACAAGTAGCTATTCAAATACAATCACTCCCACCCAAAACTTAAGATGCCTCTTTTGTTTCATAATTATTTCATTGTTTATTTAAAGGTCTTGCTATATTTGTGTAAAATAAGTATAATAAATAGATTTTTCATTCCAGAAGGCTTATTAAATCTTACATATTGTTTTATTATAGTTGTAATATTATCAGCAATTGATTTTTGGACAGTCAAGAACATTACAGGAAGGTAATATTAATAGATAGACAATAAAATAGAAAATTGGTTGGTTTAAGATGGTGGTCAGAAGTAAAAGAAGATGGATCTGAAGAATGGATATATGAATCTTAAGTAGCTAATTTTGTTCCTAATCCATTTAATTCAAATATATTTTGGTTTGCTTAGTTTGGAGTAGTATTGACTTGGGGAATATTAATATTGTTAGATTTAATTGGTTTAAGATGGTTTAATGTAAAATTTTATCATTTATAATAGGCTGTTTTAGCAATGACTGCCTTTTGTTTGACAGGAATTAATTTTGTAGGATTCTATAAATGTAGAGGAGAACATCAAAAGAAAGCAAAAGAATATATGACTAAAATTGGTTTGAAGGCTATATAGTAATGGTGAAATTATTATAATAATAACTGAATACTTATCATTCAGGAATTGATATTTCTGTCTTTTTCACTTATATACCTAATAAAGAATCATTTGCAATCTTTTTAAGTATTTTCTTATTCTATAATAATTCTTACTCTCCCATTCTCTAAAAAGAATTTGGTTTACATTTCAGAGGTGAACCATTACATCCATATACAATTTATTTTTTAAGTTCTTCTGCATTCTTTAAGCACATTAATCTAATATTCTATAATTATAACATTTAATACATTTTTTCGTTCTTATTCTTATTTTTATACTTCCATTTATTCTTGTAATTCTGTTTCAAATATAATTTTCTTTTCTGATTTTTCTTATGTATATCTTCTCTTTTTCTCTAAAACTTATTTTTCTAAATCATTCAATAATTAATACTATTATTCTCTTTTACCTATTTTGTTCCTTAAATTTAATATATTTTATACTCATTTTTATTATTTGGCCAATAATCATCTAATGTTTCATTTAATTCATAATTATTCCTCTTCTATCTAATTGCTTATTAACTATAATTATTAATCTGTAAATTCATTATATCTTCTTTTTCTCTTCTAATTCTTTCCCTTTTTTAATTTTAAATTTCATCCCTTATAATAAATAATTCTTATTAATTTCTTTCTTATTCTTTGCTTCTAATTATATCTTCTTTAGCCTAAGAATAATAAACATTTTAATACTTTAATTCTTAAATTTTCATTCTATTTCAATATAATTTATAACTTTTCAAATTATTCCATTTTCTTTCGTTTATTTAATTCATCCTCTGCCTTAATCTCTTCTTTAACTCTTTAAACCATTTCTTCATCCTACTATTTTATATATATATTTTATTCTTTTCTACTTAAATTATAATATTTACTTTTGCTTTTTATTAAAATAAACTTATTGATCTCTAATTAATTTTTCTTAAAGTTCTTCTTATTTTTTTGATTTATATTTCTACTCTTATTCTCTTTCATAATCCTTTAATTATTATAGACTTGTTGTATAATATAATATATCATCTTATTTTTCCTTTTATTTTACTTTTTCTTTTTCAGCTATTTATTTGTCTAAATCTTCTTTAATCTTTTATTTATTAATTATTTTTTTCTTTTTTTCTTCCTCTATTTCTTTCTAAAATTATTAAGTATTATATTTAATTATAACTCCCCATTCATCTAATGATCCATCAACTTTATAAATTGATTTTCTCTTTTCATCATTAATGAAAGTATCAGTCTTTTATTTTATTTATGTTGCTTATTATTTTTATTATGATAATTAATTAATCTCATGTCTTCTTTCCTAAATTTAATTTTCTTATTTAGATATTACATTGTTCTTTATCTATTATTCTTATTGTCCTTGTTATAAAATTAAACATATTACTTTTAATTCTTTAATTTAATTTCTATATCAACATAAGTTTTTCCTCTTTTGGTCTTAGAACAGCTTTCTTCACTTCTTCTCTAAGAATTCTAATAGCATTTTTTGAATTGTATTATATAAAAAAGTCATCTATATATGCTGTAATTAGCTATAATTAATTTTTAACTATACATTTGCATTAACTTAATCATTTTGTGCATATTCTCCAAACAAGTTATCAAGTATTAATTATTTTATTCTTTCTTAATTTTAATTGTTTTCTCCAACCATATGAATTGTTCTACCAAACTTTTTTGGAAGCATAATAATAAATTAATAGTTTGAAATAGTTGTTCTAACTAAATAATATTTTTTAATTTTATCTAAATCATAAATTTCTAAGTGAATTCCATATTAAATTTAATATAATTTATTACAATAATGACTGTTGATAATCTAATATCAATTAAGATTAAAAGATATTATATTTATTATATAGATCAATAATAATTTATATATAATAAATTTATACAATATCAATAAATCATTTTTAATGTCTATAAATGTTATATGAATATGACTTATTATAATCTATATTTTGAGGATTATGAGTATTATTTAAAAATAGATTAATAATATAATACATTAATAAGAGAATTATCTTGATAATAATAAAATCTATTAAATTCAGATCATTATTAAATATTCTTGTTTAATTAAACTCTATTCTCAAAAAAAGAAATTGACTGATTCTCTATATATAAATGTTTATTTTACGCTTAAGAATATGTTATTAATTATCCTTCTATAGTAATTCAATCTTAAATTTAATTATTGTTATTTTTAAGATATACAATTAGTAATTATTATAGATTTCACATCTTATATTCCAAAATTACAAAAAACTTAATTTATTGTTAAATAGTATTATTTGTAATATCTATTTATTTTTTTCATTTTACTTTAGAATTTATATCAAATACTCATTCTCTTACATTAATCTAATTATTTTTTTTTTATTAATATTGTTTAGGGATCATTGATTACTTCTATTGTAAAACTTTAGTAGTCTTCTAGAATTTATTGATCCTAATTTTAATTTTATTAATATATGTAATTTATGTTCATATATTATTATATAAATTAATTCAAAACCTGAAACCTAATTATTAAATTTTTGATGAGAATGCCTATATTTTATTATCTTTGAGCTTAACTAACTACTAAAGTTTGTTAATTTTTAGTTCTAGAATGGCTATGATATCTTATTAATCTGCTATTTTTTATTCCAAATCTTGAATTGTGGATTGATTGTTATTTATAGATATGTTAGTGGCTGATGATTTTTATGGTTCAACAGTTTCATTATCTTAATAGTTCATTATCTTTGATTTCAAAATCATTAAAACACGTTCTATGGCTCCATTTTTTGCTGATATAATTTGTTCTATATCATTTTATGTCAATTAAAAGCCCAGATTCTAAAAAACCTTTTCTAAATTGAATTAGAGGTTATTACTTTTGTATTAAGAGTATTCCAATTTTATAATTTAGATTAATATGAATTAGCTTAGCTATAATTCTATAAATCGACTTTTTTTGGTAGAAAGTGATGAACAACTTCTGCCATAAGAATTCCATCTTCAAAATCTTTAGCAATCTATCTTTTTTGTCTAGAAAATGGAACAGTATCAACCCAAGTATAGAGTTCATTTAATTCATCATCAATTTATTAGAGATTATCTCTACTTTTCATTTTTTATTAATTTTATTATAATGAATCAAGAGAAAACAGTTGAAGAACCTTTACTAAGTTAGGCAAAGATGAATGAATATAAAGAGAGAGAATTTAGAGAATACTTAGTCAATTAAGATGTTACACTTGCAATTGTTAAATGTATGTATAATAATAATTGATATATATAGTTCTTCTTGCTTTGAGAAATGCACCAAATAAACCAGATTCTCCTAGTCAAGCACTTATTGATTATTTTAGTATACATAAAGATACAAGAGCTCATGAAGAATATGAAAAAATGAAAAGTGATGTTGAATAATTAGAGCAAGGTTTTTAATCTTTTATAACAGTATAGAGAATAATGAATTATCAAAAGAAATTGATTAAATAAAAGAATAAATTGTATAATAGAAATTAGAAAAGTAACGTAGGGAAGAGGAAGAAAGAATACGTTTAGAAGAAGAGTCAAAAAAGAATACAAAGAAACCTACAAAGAAATGATTTATACATTATTCTTATCTATATTTATAATTTTGAATTCAAATTAATGAACGAGTCTCAAGTATCTAGAGTTTTTGGAAAAAATCTTGAAAATCAAGTAGATAAGGCATCCAAGATTCTAAAAGGGAAAAAAGATATAATATTTGATGAATTAGGAGGGAAAGAAAATATAATAAATGATGCAATTTGGACAAAGGAGGGTTTGAATAAATTAGATTCTCCTTAAGTTGTTAGCTTGTATTAACAAGAAATATATGAATTTTTATATGAAAAAGAAAAAAGTATGGGAGAACCAAATTTTTAAATGTCTTCCACAAAAATCAATGATACTGTAAGAGCTACAACAGTATATTATTATATTAAATATAGGTTAGATATATAGTAAAACTTGTTAGATGTTTTAATTTAAAGTCTGAAACACTATTTTAAACAGTTGATTTGATGGATTAAATAATTCCACTCATAAATCCTGAAATTGGAGAATTGGAGCTTATTTCATTAACATGTCTTTTTATAGCATGTAAATATGAAGAAATATATCCACCTCCATTAGCAGCATTATTAAGAGCTACTGATATTATAGTTAAAGATGTTATTGAGATGGAAAAAGAAATACTTAGTAGATTAAATTTCAATGTTATTAGTGATAATACTTTAGTATGGTTATAAATAATAGGAGAAATGTTAGGTTACAATAGTAAATATTAAGATTAAATAAAGCAAAGATGTATGTAAGTTTAATTCTCATTTTATTAGGAATTTAGCTGAAACTAGTTTAACTTCTTCATTATTTTTGAATCATAAAAAATCATCAATTGCTATAAATATTTATATGGCTGTAGAAATGAATTTAGGTTGTCAAAAAACATAATTTAAATGGGAAAGATTAACTTAACATTAAAAACCAAGTAATGAATCAAAAACACTTAAATTATTGACTTATATATTGAAAAGCAAATGATTTATACTTAAATAAACTCTTAATAAATTAAATTTGAATATAAATCAATAATCATTATTTTTTCTTCTTTTAAGGTTGTTTAACAGCTTAAGTCTTATTGAGGAAGAAGATGTAAAATATTGATAGCACTAAACTAATAAAATAATAATTGAATAGAATGAATTCTATAAATGTATAAACAAAGGATTTTGTAAAGATACCATATTTAGTAATCCTTTTCATTATTATTTTTGATGGATCTAAATTAACTAAAAATAATAATTAAATAATAATAATTACCATCTTCAATTGGATCATCTTTATTCTCAAATAAATAGTCCATCATTATTATATTTTCTTTAACACAATACATTTCATTTTATTCATAATTAGCAGGTAGATAATTATATCTAATATTACTCTCTGGTATTTATGAATTCTTTAATAACAAAATCATAAATAATAATATTGGAATAGCTATTTTTGATAGTAATTGATAAGCTACAATAACAAATCCTCTTAATAAACCTTCTACTCTTTTTTTAACATATTCCTATTATTCTGGTTGATCTTTAAGTATCATAATCCAATCACAACCTTTAGCCATATGTTTATCCATTTCCATAGTATATGTCATAATTTATAATATGGCAATTATAATTATTGCTAAAAATTGAAAATGAAACACATAATCAATATTTTAAATTAAAGGTTTAATATATAAAGCTATATAGATTATATGTGCAATTAATTATCCAGCAATCAAATAAAAAAATTTTGCTTATGATTTATCTGTAGATAAACTATTCTTTAATTCTGTGAAACAATTTCCAAATCTAATTAAAATTGGTAATATGCAAAATATTATTATTGAAACCATCATAGCCAATACAATTACAAATAAATCTCCAAATTATCCCATAAATGACCAGACTCCTGGTTATAAAAAAGTTCTAAGTACAATTTCAAGATGAACAGCCATTCTTTAAAATTCATGTCTCATATTAATATTTAAGAAATCTTTGAATCCCAAATTTATAAAGATTGTTATCAAAATAGAAATAATACAAATTACAATAGACATCTTTGTTTATTATGAATCATAACCTCCAATTGTAGCAGCTTTATATATATTCCCTATACCTTATAAAATATAATTACTTATTATCATTATTACTATGATGCCATCAAAATAAAATAGCATTCCACTATCAATTACATAATATCCTAAAGCTGAACCTATCATTTTCATTATCTCTACTATAACAAATTATGCAAATAACATATAGATAAATAACATTGTAATTTCCATGTCATTAGCAAAAGGAACTTATTAAAAGTGTTAGGCTTAGCTTGTCATAGTTTTCATTTAAACCAATGTCTTAATTTTCTTATCTTTGCTTTCTTTAAGATCTTCACCATCAGGAGGTAAAAACATAGTTACACCAGAGCAAGGAAACAATAAATTTGGTAATTTCTTCTTTAACTTGAATATTCCAAAAGCCAAAGCACAAAATACCACAATTTCAACTGGAAAGAGAAGCAAATCCAATTATTCACTCATTCAAGTAAATTAAAATTAAAACAATGAATGAGGTAAAATCTACTCACTATGATTCTAGAGTTTAGTTTTAACCAAATTGTTAAATACCAATCCAAAATAAGAGAACAATCTCCAAGCCATCCTTATGAAACTATAAGAACTTAAATTCTTTAACTATTTTATAGAAAGATTTCTAAAAGGCACTTAAAAAGAGAGTCTACTCAATGTATCACTTTATTATTAATAATACTAAGTTATGTGGTAGATTCAAAATGGAGCATCATAAAGGACCATCATTGTTATTTTAAGAAGGGGATAAATCAAATGATAAACTTTATATTATATTCAGAGGTTCTGTTGGTCTATTTAGAGCAAAGAAATTTGATACTTTTCAATAACAGACACCACAACAAACTTAACCAACTTAACCAATATAACAACTTCTAGAGAAAGTTTCCAGCAATCTCAAAGAACTTAATAAACAGACAATTTCAAAACCTAACTTTATGAAGAGTTTAGCAAATTCAAAAAGATTCGCTAATAAATTAATGAGCACTTTGACATAATATACAACCAAAGAAGATTTATTAATATCTTAATAGGAAATGTCAATTCTAAATGAAAAATATGGAGATACTGTACGAATTTTAGGTTAAGGAGATGGTTTTGGAGAAGTAGCAATAATAGAAGGTACTCCAAGAGGACTCACTGCATGTGCAGTTTCTTAAGATTGTTTTTTATTAATCTTAAAAAAAGAAGATTTTGATATTGTAAAACAATAATTTGTTTAATCTATCAAAGAGAAAAAGAATTTAATTTACACTAAATTTGAAGTTAAAGATGCATATTCTACTGCATTATCTAATTCATTAGCTTATAGTTTTGATGTATTATAATTTATATAAATAGGTTGAATCATTTTAACACAATGCTATTCTGGCAGTTGAAGGTATGTAATAAAAAGTATTTTATTTGATTGCATCAGGTGATATTTTATTAGAAAAATATATTGGGAATAAAAATATTAAGATTTGTATTTTAACTAAAGGATAATTTGTTGCTGAAGAGATTGTTGTTAATCAAGATAGTGTTTGTGAATACAGTGCTAGAGTAATATCTAATTAAGCTACTCTTATGATTATGAATAAAAATGAATTCTTTCAAAAATTCCCAGAAGAATGCAAATAATAAATAAAAAAAGAATATTAAAGAAAAAAACTATTCAGAATTTCCTTTCCTGAACAAACACTTGACAAAATTGCTGATATTTAAAGTCCTAAGACATCACCAAAATAGACTATTAAAATAAAAGTCAATCCTTTATCTGTCAGAAGTCATTAATCTTATAGAAATGCATCTTGTTAATTAGATATCAAAGATATATTAGAAAAAAAGAAATCAATATATTGTTAGAAATATTAAGACAACTAAAAAAAATGTGAAGACATTATTTTATTTACTGAAATGTGTTATTCACCAAAAATTTGTCATACTCCAAGCTACAAAAAATTAAATAATGTATTATAGAAATCATTTCATTAACATTAATTAAAAAAAATAATGAGAAAGAAATTCAAATATAATTCAAGCATTGATATACCTATTTCATAGTTATCATAGTATGAAAGGAGTTATAAACAATAATAAACACCATCTACTAATCTAGCTAGCTAAGAATTAGATTAATGAGTCTTTTCAATTTAAATTTGCATATCTTATATATCTATATATATATATATATAATGTTATTTCATGATTATTATTATGGCTATTATTGGGCTGCTTAAGATCTTGGTTATTAAGATGGTACTTATTATGGTTAATGTTATTATTATTATAATGGTTAAGATGGTCTTGTTACAGGAGCAGCAGCATATTATTGTTATACAAATTAAGGAACAACTCTAGATGCAATCAATGGTTATTAAACATATTAAACTGGTTATTAAACATATTAAACTGGTTATTGAACATATTAAACTGATTATTATATAACCGGTTATTATACAACTGAAACAGCTTATTATACATATTAAGTTGGTTATTAATGAACAACTTATCTTTCAACTGGATAATATTCCACTCTCTCTTAATATCTATCTACTGGTACATATTCTGAATAATATATTTACTCATTTATTACCTGTGTATTTCTCTTAGAATACTTAAGGAATATATTCTGTTTAATATTCAACAGCATAATAATCTGTGACTTTTGTTTCTCTTGGAACATAAGATACTATTTCTTATTCTTCATATTCAACAACAGCTTTTTAATATGGAATATATTCAATTCTTGATTCACCTTTTATAGTTTGGTGCTAAAATTTAATTCAAATTTACTTGGGCTACTGGGGCAACTGCTACAGGCTAAACTTAGACAGGTGCTAATTGTTAAACAGGAACAGAAGCAATTGGTGCAACAGGCATTTAGGCCACTGGTGCATATTGAATAGGAGCTACAGGAGCAACTGGAGCTACATAAGATTATCTAATAGGAGAAGCTGGATAATAGGTAGGAGGTAAATAAGTATTTGGATAAACTGGAGCAGCAGGTCTCTATTATACTTAAGGAGCTGGAGCTTATTATGGTTATTAAGCAGCTTGTGGACGATTTGACATTATTTTTTATTTGATAAATTCAAAAATTATATTAAAACCTAATACCCATTTTATTTAAAAATATGCCTCAACATAATGCATATTAATGTATAATAATACTTCATTTTATTTATTCTTTCATTATTAAATATTATACTCATTAATTTCTGATTTATATATCTCTATTTTATATCTGTAAAACTTTGAATCTATCTAATTATGTTATATAAAATAAAAGACATCCTTCTATTTAATCCTTAACCAAATACATATAATATATATTATATACTAATTAATTAACAGATAAATTATATTAATATAAAATTTTATTCCTATCAAGGATATTATATTTAATAAACTTTCATTTACTTATTGGCATCGCTCCAAATTACCAAATATTTTCCATCATCTGACAAAGTTCCATAATTATCACCGCTTTAGCAATCAATAGGTTCTCCAACTATACTTAACTATTCATTTTAACCTAATTCAAAAATTGTAACATATCTGTTATGACGTAGTATCATAAGTTATTTTTCTTTGTTAAATATTAAGGGAAACAAAATATATATATCTTACTAATTTTGTGATTTAAGAGAAATCTTCATTTTTGGTATTTCTATAAATTTTTCATTTTCTTATTTAAAAATGTGTAGATAACCCTATTAATATTATGTCCAAGCTATCAAATTATCAGTTAGAAATCCTACTCTAAAGCCATAATCGTCTATTGATTTTTCAATTTTATTATTAAATTTCCAGTGTTTATTTTCATCCTTTTTCCATATGATAATTTGTTTATCCATACTACAAGATACTAATTAAGTCTCATTAGAATTTAAACTGATTTAGTAAACAAAATGTTAATGTTAATCTAATGAATAACAAAACTCTATTGAATTCTCTAATGCATTTGCTTTCCATACTTTAATTGAATGATCAGCTCCACATGATATTAATTCATCTTCATTTTAATTCAAAATAATATTGTAAACATAATTTAAATGCTTTTTAAATGGCTATGAACATATCCAATTAATTGCATTATTATCTTGTTTTTATTCCTTCCAACATCGAATTTATAAATCATCTCCTCCAGATATCAACCAATTTTATTTATGACTAAACACTAAACATCTTACTAATGATGTATGTCCTTTTAGAATTATGTTCTAATCAATTAATTTTCCTTCATCCACCTTCCATATCTTAATATCTGATTTACATGTTGTAGCCAAAAGAGTTCCTTACTTGTTAAAAGATAAAGCTTAACAATCCTCTTTTTATTCTATCTCATAAAATAAATTATAAGTAATTGAACTAACAGGCACTTGATTCTTAATTTATGGTTCTTGTTCTTGCTTAACATTTTATTTAGAACTTGAATTATTTCCCATTTTAAATTAAATTATATTATTAAATTATTAATTATTTTAGAGAAAATTAATTCATTTTATTAAAAATATATATATTATAAGAATATATTAATTACTTAATTATTTAAAGACTTTAAAAATGTTTTTAGGAGAACACAAAAATACGATTTTTTGATTATCTATAAACAAATAATATCTATTCTTCTTCAATAGAATTTATTTTTTTTATTATATTAAATATAAAAATTAATGTCAAGAAGTTCTTTTGATGAAAATTTAAAGAAATTGTATGAATCTTTGATGTAAGTTTCTTCTTAGGAGTCTTAAAGCAATGATGAAAAAGAGGTATATATCTATTAACTAATATATAAGTCTAAAAAGCATGAAAAAATAATTGAAACTTCAACATTCTTAGTCAAAGCCATAGCATTCATTCCAAACACAAATGATAAAATTGCTATTGCAGGTTAAAGCTAGATTACAGGTGAAAACTAGGTTCAAATTCACAAAGTTCCGTTTAATTAAGGTTCTTCAAATAATTAAAATAATATTCAAGTATAAGTATATTAAGAATAGATTAAAAAATATAGTGAAAAACTTTACGAATACATTTTATAAACTAGAAGAAATAATTAAGGGATTGTACAATATATTTAATAGGTTTAAAATGATGTTTCAAAATTTCAAGCAAATATTTAAGAGATTAAAAAATATATTAGTTAGGTAATAAGAAATACTTAAAATATTCAAACATAAATTTAAGAGATTTAAAATTATATTTAATAGGATTAAAGAAATAATTAATTAAATAAAAAAGTGTAAAAATTAGTTAAGATTAAAAATAATATTTTATAGATACTTAAAGACATTGAAAATAATGTATCATAAGAAAATCTAGCAAACTTTTATCAAAATACTTAGGAAATTTTAAAAAAAATAGTATAAATTGAAGAAAATAATAGAAAAATGCAAATAAGTATTTATGAGATTGAAAATAATTGTTCAAGTAAAAAATTCAAAATATATAAGTTATTCCATTTACAT